AATCATAAGGACGTGATCCTCTCGAAATTAGTTTATAAATAAACTTCACTTAACAGTAATCAGTCAAGATATATTTTGCTGATTTTTATTCCTGTTTCTAGACATATTTTGAGTCATGACATCTATTATATGATTACATTTTTTTTTATTTTTAGGGGGCTATAAGCCTTTTAATTTAAAGGTGCAGTAGGTGATCTGTCAAAATGCTATTTGTTAGCATAACAGCTTTGAAAATACAGTCTCTCCTATGCCGTCCAAAGCCACAAATTCTATAATCACGAACACACCTTAAAGATGACAGTAGACAACCCACTAGATCATGTCGTTTGCCAGTTAGAAAAGTTTATAATACTTTATAATATTACAATTCGGAATGAATTGTAATATTATAAAGTATTATGTAATTTGTATCTAGAACTTTTTCAGTTGTGTAGCAAGCAAAACTTACACTATTTTCTTAGTGTTTGTCAGGCGGGGTGCAGGAATTACACTTATTACTAAGCGATACTTACATGCAAATTCTAATCGAATATTCAACGTAGCATGGTAAACAATATAGGGAGCGTGTCCCAGGTTGTCAATGTTCAGGAATGAACCAATGTGAATATGAAACCAACCTCAGTAAAGCAGGCTAGGCAAATAGCGCTATTTACTTCTGTGTTGTTGTTAAACGGAATAAAAATCTACATTATCTATGCTGTAATAGGGCCCTAATGAAATTGAAAATAGTCACATCAAGCTTTTGCTGGAAGGTTTTAGCGGCTGAACAACACTTCCGAGCATATAACCCATTGGTAAAACAACAAACTCTACATCAGCTTTGCGTGACTAAAACAGTTTTAAAATAACATTACCTGTCTAAAAGAAATACTTCAGCCATGGTGTCATCCTTTCTCCAGCGTGCAAAAATAACTCCAAAATTGATTCAGGACTTTAAAAAGTTTTAATTCAGTATTTGTTCTTACTGCTGTCTCTCTAATTTTCACTTGAACAGGGCGCGTGTGCATGTGCAAATGGTGGATCAGTCTGTGCGTATGGGGTGCGCAGATTTTTTTTGTTGACAGACAGTTTGGGCTACTTATCAAAATTATGGGAATTGATGGCCCGGCAAATTTTAATTGAATACAATTTTTTTTGTCTTTTGCCTTACCTTCAATATAAAAATACATATAAATACATTTAGATAATTTACTTTAATCATTACTAGTGAAATGTGAAGAGACTTTTAACTAGCACAACAAAAAAATGTTTCTCAAGAAAATCACCAACTGCACCTTTAATCTTTAACAATTAAAACAAAATGTAGTTTGGTTTAGAAATTTAAGCAAAATGCTTAAATGCTATACTGTGTGTTGTTAATAGAAATGTGTTGAAGAGTTTGTGCTATGTGTGATTCGTTGAAGATGTGTGTTAAAATTAATTTTTTGGTTAATAAGATTTTAGAATTTTATTTTAGAATAATTCATTATTATCTAAAAATAACTTTTTTTTCATTTTAAGAGTTCTTGACACTAACTTTTTTTAAACAATATAAAAGCAGTAAATTTAAAAAATGGTCAAGTGTTCAAAGTGTTTAACAAAATAAGTCTGAAATAAGTGATGGCTGGCCAACTAATCCACACTCGAGATGGTTGTGGTGGGTGTACATTATATTTGAGGTCAATTCTTCCACTTCTGCTTTATACTGTGCCTAAAGACACTGTAAGCTTCTCATAAAATAATTGTACACCTCAGTTCATATTCATCTTAGTCCATATATGTTTATGAGCCAATCAGAATCAAGCATTTAACAGCCCAGTAGTATAAAATAAAATATATTATGGACTTTAAAGGCCCCAATATCCTCTTGCTTGTTCTGTTTTAAAATTTCTGTTCGGTGTTCCAAGTTGTTTTTACACTTTTTAAACTTAGATATCTAAAAATCATTTAAAGCAATAAAAACATAAACATCATGATGTAATTTGCTCTGCTGAAAGAGAATTTAAATAGATATGTAAATGTGTGCTGTGCACCTTTCTTTAAGTATAAAAAATAACAAAAATGACATCAATGCGAAAACAGCAATTAAGAAAGCATCTGATCATTGCAACTTGAATGTTTGAATGAGAATAATTTTTGAAGCTCCAGTTATGTATTTCTTATTTACATAATAAACTATTTTAAGTTAAGCAGCTTTGGCTTAAACTGAGACTAGAAAAAACAGTATTAGTGTTGCTTGAATTAAAATGACTTACTCATTTTTAGTGTGTTCAGGTTTTAACACAAGGATGTCCAGGTTTGACAGACCAATAGTAATTTAAAATGCTCTTTTTTTCAGTCAGAGGGGTGGATTTGGCAATTCTTTTGAATTCCAAATGAGCTTCATTTTACCTATTTACTCAGAAAGATTTCACACCCGCTATGTTTCTTTCTGCTTCAAATATATTAAGGCCTTTGAACTTCTCTTTTTAGGCTTAAATCTTGAGTCCCTCTCCTTCCCCAACCTCTTTAAATGTTTCACAAACTTTGAGCCTGGCATTTAAGGAAGAGCATGCAGGCCACTGCCTCGTCACAGATCTCTGCTCTTGTCCTCATGCTCCACCATCCGTGAAAACGCACTGCTTCGCTGCAAGCACACATAGACAGAGCAACATGTTTTATGTTAAAAACATAACACACACAAAGCCAAGACCACTCAGACAAGCACGCATAGAATAAGATGTAAATACACTCTAAAAGCTGCTGTCCACATTTATCATTGGAGGAGGTTCCCACCCCCTTTTCAGTTTAAGTCTGTCCAATAGACTCTTGCCTTAGGCGTCTGGCTAAGATGCAGGTCTTACTGGACACTCCACACACACACACAAACACACACACACACACACACACACACACACACACACACACACACACACACACCTGCATCCAAAAATTCCTCTATGTCCGTTATCAAGTAGTCTCAGCATGAGGCGGCTGTTTCCTGAGGCCCTGTAGAGTGTGTAGACTGCACACATCTTCAATCCTGTAACATCAAAGTTTGCACACACTCTTCATATTGATGTCTAACTTGCTACGTGCACAGGATAGAGATGAGAGTATAAGATAAATAGTGTTAAAGGTCAACATTATAGATTTTAAGGATAGATGGTACATGTGTCTTGTGGTACAAGTGATTGCATGGACATTTTCTGTAGAACTTCCCCAAAATTGTACATTTATAGCTGAAATGTTAAATGTATTTTCATGAAGTGCGAAGTAGTGCTCAGTTACCTGCGCAGTTTAAAACTTTTGACATTTATGATTAATATAACTAATATGGGGTGACACAGTGGCGCAGTGGGTAGCGATGTCACATCACAGCAAGAAGGTCGCTGGTTCGAGCCTCGGCTAGGCCAGTTGGCATTTCTGTGTGGAGTTTGCATGTTGTCGCCATGTTCGCATGTGTTTCCTCCAGATGTTCCGGTGTCCCCCGCAGTCTAAAGAAATGCGCTATAGGTGAATTGTATAAATTGGCCATAGTGTATATGTGTGGGTGTGAATGCAAGGGGTGTGTGGGTGTTTCCAGTGCTGGGTTGTGGCTGAAAGGGCATCCGATACGCAAAACACATGCTAGATAAGTTGGTGGTTCAATGAGCTTTTATGTTTAAAATAATTTCCCGAGTTCACAGCCACATAGACAACAGAGTAAAGACAAAGTGTGTTTGGCTGACTGTCCGGGGAGAGGGCTCTGAGGCTAAAAAGACATCTGAGCTCAGGATATTCCCCTCGTTAAGAGAGAGAGAAGAGTCCGACTTCAGCATCTATTGCCAAATCCCAGAATGCTCTATCTCCCTGAGCTGGGTATGAATCTGCTTGAAAGTATGGAGCTGGGCTGGTAGAGGGATGCAAAGCTGATCAGAAAATGTAGGTAGGACATGCTTGATTATTTATAGGGATTCTCTTTAATGTTGATTGGATTATTGGGGTGGGCATAACGGAAGCGCAGTGGGTAGCACGATTGCCTCACCGCAAGAATGTCACTGGTTCAAGCCTAGGCTCGTTCAGTTGGCATTTCTGTGTGTGAGTTTTCATGTCCTCCTCGTGTTGGCGTGGGTTTTCTCCGGGTGCTCCGGTTTGCCCTATACAGTCCAAAGACAAGTGCTATATGTGAATTGAATAAGCTAAATTTGCTGTATGCATGTGTGTGAAGTAGTGTGCATGGGTGTTTCCTAGTGATGAGTTGCGGCTGGAAGGGTATCTGTTGCGTAAAACATGCTGGATAAGTTGGTGGTTCATTCCGCTGTGGTGACCTCTGATTAATAAAGGGAGTAAGCTAAAAAGAAAATGAAGTAATGACTGAAAGATTTGTGTGAATGCTAATTATGAGTTCAGTGTTTGTGTTCTCCTGAAATTTGTTATTAAACATCACACAATTATTGACCTTCTCTGGCACTTTATGTTATTTACAATAACATTTCTATAACATTTCTATTTCTGCCTCGGGCACCCCATTTTGTCAGACTGCCCATAATGTTATCTTAACAAGTGTACTCATTATCACTTGTATTACACCTGTTCATGCTCATCATAGGGGAAATGTTCTGTAATTGGTGCTAAACTGACTGACTCTGGATGATCGCCTGACTACTCTTCACAGATAATCAATTAACAGGGGTAGACAACATGAGGAAAAAGTGGGAAAAAGTTGCAGTTAATTTCCTCACCCTCAGGTCATGCAAGGTGTACAGTATGTGACATTCTGTCTTTGGAGCTAAATTGGAGCTAAACTCAGCAGGGGCATCAGCCCTCCAGGACGAAGACCCTTGCTTTAAGAAAACATTATTAGGAAACGAACCCCTTTAAAACAGCTTCATTTATTTCACTGCACTTACCCGTCCCCGACGTATCTTTTTATTAGATTCATTTATTTTATTTTATTTTTACACTCTGACAGTAAATTGGGAGTTTCATCAATTAGACGAGGGTTTGGTTTGGAGGAATCCTATCAGTGCAGATTGTGTCTGGGAGAAAAAAAGAGAAACTGAGCGCGCACCGGGAGCGCGCTTAACGGAGAGCTTTTGACACTCGATCAGAGTAGGAGCTTCACTCACAAAACGGAGCCCGGTTAGTCTGTCCTGCCGCGCTAGTTGTGTCAAAGCGAGACAGTCCCTTACCTTCTGTCCGGCAAACTAGGATACATCGTAAACCGTATTTCATTTCTTCCTCAAAAACCCGTCCCCGTTCGAACCAGCAGCAAGAACTGTGCTCGAAGAAACATCTTTACCGCCACACTCCGTCCATCTCGCCAAACGGCTCAGGAATACAAAGTTTTATCACTTTTAACCGCCTCTTCGAGACTGAACGCCTATCATTTGTTTTTCTTTAAAGACATCTGGAGTTTTTCGGCTTTTCAACGACTTTGGCTTGGATGTAGGCTACACGCAGGCGTCTTTCCTTCGCGCCGTTTCCTCAGTGGTTCTCTTGAATGTAGCTGGTGTGGAATACATGAAGACTTTATAACGCCGCGGAAGGAAAGAAAAACGGCTCAGAGAACAACTTTACGGAAGACTAAGGAGTTTATTTATTACTGTTTCCTTATCAAGTACGTATGATATTACCATGTGTGTGGGGCGAGAGTCTTCGCCGCCCCTTTTAGACCAGAATTAGTCAGTGTGGTCCCGGAGTAGAGGCTAAATCAGTGTCTTCTCGATCTCGCGCACGCTCCTCACCATTCTTTTCCTTACCCCAGCGGTTATTTATTTCCATGGAATAACTGAATCGGGAAACGACTGAACGACAAGGAGTTTTTTTTCCCACCGCCTGTAACTGACAGGCGGTTTAGGGTTGGCTCTTCTCCGGAGAATGCTCAATGATCGATGGGGAATCATGAACAGCTCACCGGAACTCGAAGACGGACAGCGGGGCAAAAACCAGGTGTGTCCCACTCTCTTACACTTCACACAGTGCACAGTGTAGTTTTAGCTACTATATATATATATATATATATATATATATATATATATATATATATATATATATATATATATATATATATATATATATATATATATATATATATCCGTGTGTGTTTGGAGAGAGAGAGAGAGAGAGAGAACAGTGAATAGCACAATGAGTTGAGTGCGTCTTGTTCCTGTCACTCCGCATAAGCGCGCCCGTAGATCACGCGCGCGGCAGAAAGTGGCTATTTTGTTTCTCGTTTATGCGGGTAGCCGAGGAAAAGGGCGCCAGTCATGCAAATTGCAGCTGCTTTGTGAATTTGGCACTAAGTACTGGTGTGGTATATTGTGAACGAAGGGAGCGTGGCTTTTAATGTTTGATTAATTGATGAGACATTAGGTTAATTTTAGTTTCTGCCATCGATGTTGGTATATTACATGAGGTAAAGTGTGCCTAGAGGCACTCACGCAGGCTTTTCAAATGGCAACCAAGGTTAGATAGAATAAAGCAAACGCATGAACGTGTCCGAAGTACGTTAAACACGTTTTCATTGATTTTATTTAGTGGCTTTTAAATGGACAATTGTTATTTATAATCTTGTATAAACCCATAAAGCATACATTCACACATAGCTATCACAGGCAATATCAAAATCAACAAAGCACTGTTAATTCTCAAATCTTGAGTACACACCCACACCATTGAACAATCAACTATACAGACTGTAGGGTGAGAGAAAGTAGACAGTTGCAGTTAGTGTTCAACCTTTTTTTTTTTTTTTTGTCTACATTCATCTACACCCTACATTCACATACCGTGTATTTATCTACACTGTTTATGTGTGTGTGTGTGTGTGTGTGTGTGTGTGTGTGTGTGTGTGTGTGTGTGTGTGTGTGTGTGTGTGTGTGTGTTTAATTATTTATTTATTTTTAGAATGGATGAGAGAGGATGTGTAAAAAATATTTGATTATGTCTACTGAAAAATATGAATAGCTGAACTACAAAGAATAGAATAATAAAGTTGCCTGTAGCTGATATCTGGAAATGGGTCTAAGTCAGTTTTTGGCTTTCTGGTCCATCACAATTGTTTTTTTATTCTATTAGTTGGTTAGTCTGGGATGTGGTGCAGAGATTACAGAGCATGTTTAATAATTTATTCCAACTCAGTGGCAACAAAATTGAATCTTTTTTGAAGCGTTGATAAAGATTTGGCAAAGGTTTTCAACACAGTTCTTAATCAATAAAGAAGTTCCCAGGATTTTCTCAGCGCACACACGAAAATGTAGTGGTGAAATGGAATTGATTGAGTCCATTTTTGCTGACAGCAGTTCACACCAAGCTCCATACATGCATTTTTAACTAATGATTGTGCATGTCTGTTTCTTTGGAACTGATGCATGTTTTGTTTGTTTTCCCTAAGAAGGTTAGTTGTTGGAATAATAAACAATTAATATTAAATGATAGAGATTAATTGATTAATGTCTTACATTGTTCCTCCAGTGTAGTGAATTTAAGAGAAACTAAAAATACAGGGGGAAAAATTGAATCCACGATTTAACACTACATGTACACGCCTGTCTGTACCAAGCACAAAATCAGCACCATGGACAGCAAGCATTAACCACATGCCATGTGTTACATCCAGAACCATGGACAGAGCTTGAGTCTGTTTTTGAACAAATGAATCCTCCAAATCTCCCTAATTTATGAACTAATATTTTGTATTAAATATAATATTTTGTATTAATATTTAATAAGTTTCTCAACGAAAACAAAGATTTGTGTAATTAGGCTTTTGATTCATAAGCTTATAGGTTCAACATTAGGGCCTTGTGACAACTTGCCCTGATCCTACCATTTAGGAGAACATCTGAAATGGATAGTCATTTACTGTCCCTCCACTGGTTCCAAACCTGTTTGAGTTCCATTCTTCTGGAAATACTTTAAAGAGTGTTGGACAGCAGCATCCATTAACTTCCATAGTATTTTTTGTACCTACAGTGGCTGCTAATTTTCTGTAATTTGCAACATTCTTCAGAATATATTGTTTTGTGTTTAGCTGAAGAAAGAAATGCATAATGTTAAGAATGACACGAGTTAATGGTGACAAGATTTTCACTTTTGGGTGAACTATATCTTGCTTTGACATGTTGAAGTGGCTACAGTTTTTGTCAAGATGATCCTAGTCTCAGACCTCATGCTTATTATTTTTTGGCAAAATTTCTGTTGCATAAGGCACACAAAATGGAAAACACTTTGCGGGTTTTCAAGTTGTGGTCCTGTTGGCTGAATTCTATCGCATGTTAGAGAGGTTTCTGTCATGTTCATAAACTGTGCACACTGGTCTGTTGTTGAATGAATGTTATTTTTCCATATTTACAACTTTAAAACAACTTTACTAACTTAAAAATGCTTTACATGTCAGTTAGATGGCCTTTTGAGCTGTATTTGGCAATTGTAAACAAACTTGAAGTTTAGACCTTCTGCTGTCAGTCAAAAAGTCTGGCTGTGTAAGACTAACAGAATCATTGCAATATTGATTTGACAGTTTATTTGGTATATACGGGTGGGTGGAAATCTTGGTTCTTTGATGCATTATGGCTGTGGACAATTCTGAATCGATTCACAAATGTCAAAAAATTGATAACTTGATGTTGAGTTGAAAATCTAAAATGCAGACGTGTATCAGCCGGACACTGTAGATCAACAGAGAATGGACAGAGAAATGCAAATAGACGCATTTACAGTAGTAGATGTGTTTGTTCATTCAAATTAAAAAGCTAAAGCCGCTGGACCACACAAGAGCCATGCAATATGCAGTTTGTTTCTTACACTGTTCTTTTGCCAATTTCCTTGATTAACCTCTTTCTGTTCTTTCCTCCTGTCTCAACTCACTTCAAATCCATGTTCAGGATTCAGTTTGGACTTCTAAATCTTTGACTTGTTATTTATTTTTGAATAATTTCAGCATTGTATTGTTACTTGTTAGTTATTCATAGTATGCTAAAATCCACAAGCATTCATATTCTTTGAAAGAGCTGCTGGTACAGAATTTTACAATCCAGGCTCATTGAAAATACTTGCCCCTGAATAAGTCTCTTTAAAAATAAATAAATAAGTTGCTCCGGTTATGTTTAATTGCAGGCTTCAGATGACAAATCCATTAGAGGACACTGTCTACATTTGCAGAGATGAAATACATTAGGCTGTGTTTTCCTATACACTACACTTGGATGTCCATGTTCATAAGAAAGCAGGGCTTCTCATACATATCACTTTGCGATCGACTGACTGTTTTCAAAATCAAAAGAAAGAGAAAATTACACCATGGCCACATAGTTTGCCATGATTTGACATTTCTTCTTTCTGTTTTGTTGAACCATACTTGGATTTAAACCTGATCTATTTTGCATCACAAGTACAACACCGTACAAAGTGATCTATCACATCAGAAAAGTTGTCTATAAGCAGATAAACAGGTGAGGCAAACATATTTGATTACAAATCATAGACACGTTTAAGTTGTTTTGTGGTATTTATTTGGTCATAGTGATTTGTACCTAGAAGTACATTTCAGTATCACAAAAATGTTGGCTAAATGGTTCAACAACTTTCCTTTTCTAAAGGATTACTGTATACTGGTATATTTATACTTAAATTGAGAAAGCTTCTCACAGTATCACATTTTCTTATTGTGTTTATTGTTGAATCTTTTATCATGATATAGTGTTATCATGATATTGACCTGAGCTGCAAAAGAGGATATTAGGTATAATAGCATGCATAAACAAATAAATAAACAAACAAACAAATACATAAATAGTGTATTGTTTTATTGTATGTAGATTTTAAGAGTAAACAAATGTTTAAAAAATAGCAAAAATGTTTATCAAGTTCAAAAGGTAGCCCTGTACAATAATATTTCCTTAGTAATGTTAGTTAATGTATTAAAATGAACAGTTTTTTTTTCACAGTTTGTTATCCTAATGTTGGTGTTTGATATATGCTAATTACAAATGTACAACTAAATTTTTATTAGTTATTAATTGTTAATCTTGTTGAAACAATATGCTGTATGGTATTTTAATGTTAACAAATTACTAAAACATGAACTAAGAATGATTAAACATTTAAGTAAGAAGCTAAGATTAAGATGCTTTTGTAGTTTTCATTGTGAGTTTAATTTAGCTAATGTTGACAATCGGAGCCGTATTGTACATTGTTAAAAAAATAATAGGCCTAAACTATTCAAAGCATTGTAAGTCAATATCTCCTGCATGTCGTAGGCCAGATTAATGTGAAAATATTTGTTTAGAAATAAACAGCTTATTAAATCTTCATTATTTGGTGCGGTGAAAGTGATAAACAAGCAAATACAGCAATCATATTATTATAAAAAAGATACTCTAAAAGTTTGAATAATAAGTCATTTTTCCCTTTATGTGGCAACACAGCTCAGTGGTTAGCCATGTCGCCTCACAGCAAGAAGGTTGCTGATTAGAGTCTTGACTGGGCCAGTGGGTTTTTCTGTGTGGAGTTTGTATGTTCTCCCTGTGTTTGCGTAGGTTTCCTCTGGGCGCTCTGGTTTTCCCCACAGTCCAAACACATGCGCTATACAGTTGAAGTCAGAATTCTTAGCCCCGTTTTTAATTTTTTCTTTTTTAAATAATTCTCAAATTATGTTTAACAGAGCAAGGACATATTCACAGTATGTCTGATAATTTTTTATTTATGTATTTATTTTTTAGTGAAAGTCTTATTTATTTTATTTCAGCTAGAATAAAATCAGTTTTTAATTAAAATTATCAGTCCCTTTAAGCTATAAATTTTTTCGATAATCTACAGAATAAATCGTTATACAATAACTTGCATAATAATCAAACCTGCATAGTTAACCTAAGTAACCTAGTTAAGCCTTTTAATGTCACTTTAAGCTTTATAGAAGTGTCTTGAAAAATATCTAGTCATATATTATT